ATAGAACCCATACATGACATACATAATTATGTAAACTTAAGTCATTTGCATGCTCGAAATAACTTTTAATACAACATGCACATCTCCGAATAATGCATGCTCGACATGACTTCGACTATAACATGCACACCTCATTTGAACCATGAAGCTTCCCCTGTCAAGACTAGAGTATGGTCCAAAATACCATAAATCTCCACCTTTGAGCAAACTCTAAATCACCAAAGGAAAAAGTTAACTATCATCATGCAACTTTATCAGCTACATAAAGTGAAAGAACTTGCTACTAGGCAATGACTTGGTTATCATATCAACAACATTATCTTCAGTCGAAACCTTTAACACTTTCACTTCTCTTTTCTTGACTTTATACCTAATAAAATGCAACCTAAAATCAATGTGCTTGGTTCTCTCATGATAGCCTGAATTCTTTGACGGGATATTTTGGCTATCACATTTAATAGTGATGACTTGACCTTGAAGTTTTAGTTCCTTGACAAACCCTTCAAACCATAATGCTTCTTTCATAGCTTATGTGAGGGAAATATATTCGGATTCAGTGATTGATAAGGAAAGAACCTTCTGAAGAGAGGCTTTCCAAATGATTGTTGTATTTAACATTGTGAAAACATATCAAGAAAGAGATTTTTTTGGTATTCATGCATGCATAGTCTGTGTCGACAAACCCTTCGACTTCGACTTCTCCATCACTCATATAGGATCCTTCGATTTTCCTATTTCATTGTCGATGAGATTGTTTCAAGACGTATAACGACCTATTTAACTTGGACAATAATATCCCTTTCATCTTTATGCATACCCTTCAGGTTGCCGCATCAAGTTTGTTTCACCTATATCACCATACAAGAAGGCGGTATTCACATCCATTTGTTCAAGTTCTAGGTTGAACTTTGCCACCATGGCTAACAACAATATAATGGATATATGTTTTACAATAGCTGATAACACGCCATTGAAGTTGACTCCTACTTTCTGAGTAAACTCCCTAACAATTAACCTTGCCTTAAATCTCTTCGACATCACTCTTTTGATTCCTTCCTTAACCTTAAAAATCCACTTACATGTGACTAACCTGGCCCCTATGGGTTTCTTGATCAGCTCCTAAGTGTTATTATCATTAAGAGATTTCATATCATCATCCATGGATTTCGGTCATTTAGCTTTGTTTCAACTTCTCGCAACTTACTTGTAGTATTTAGGTTATTCATCAAGAACCTCACTATTAAAGTGAATGTTATGAGATATACATATCCAAGTCTTTGAGGTGGCTTAATGACTCTCTTTTCCCTGCCTCTTGCTTACAGATAGTCATTATCAGTCTCCTCATCTTCATTAGTAACTTCTGTTTCTTCTTCAAATTTATCTGGATTATTCAATTCAATATCACTATGCTCCACATCAATAGGAATCTCTTCATGTTCCAAATCTTCTTCAGAGATTTTTGCATTTCGACCACCGTTATCACTTTTCTTGAACGCCATTTTTGTTTCTTTAAAAACTACATCACAAATTATGATATATCTTCTATGACCTGATTCTAGTCACCAAAACCTCTAGGCTTTGACTCCCTCAGGATACCCAAGGAACATGCACCTCTGAGCTCTAGGAAAGAAAAGATGTTTGAGATTATCCTCTCCACACTTCCCCCACAGAATCCAAACCCTTAGTCTTTGAAATTCTTATGCACTTTTTGTTTGTGTCATCGTTGGTTATGTATTTGTATTTTTTTGTACTTGTGCGCCTTCTGGCGTTTTTATGATTAATGAAGTTATTTCTAGTTATTTCTTCTTTGTGTTGTCTTTTTGTCTATGTCTTTTTTATTGCTGACAAAATGGGGGAGAAACATAATGATTTTGATATATCTATATTCATGAATCAGAACCCAAACATTTTAAATATTTTTTATAACAATTACTTGAGAATATTCTGTTAGTTGTTTTAGGGAAAGAAATGAGTATCAGAAGATACTGAAGTTTTGGATCAGATCGTAAGACAACTAATTTCTGAAAAAATGGTTTCTAAGGAATCAATTGAGAAAGACTTCTAACAAGGCATTAAGTTTGTAAAAACGTTAACCATCTTTAACCAAGATCTAAAGTTTTTTTTTAAGATCTCAAATCAAGTTAAGTTTTTCAAACTGGACTTCTGAAGTATTGTCTCAGACAACTCGGATTTTGGAATAGTTCTAGTAACTTCTGAAGGAAACCAGATTCTGACAGAAGATCATTCTGGCTCTGCAAAAAGGTTAATTAGAAAAGTGCTCTTTCATTCTGATTTTATCTTTTTGGGACTGTTCATCTCGGGGGGGTTTGTGATTACCCTGTACAAATTGTTCATCAAAATACATTGTTTTGCCATCATCAAAAAGGGAAAGATTGTTAGAACAAAATTTGGTTATGCATTTATACCTTTGAGTTTGATGATAACAAGGTAGTATTTGTGTGAGAATAATTTTGATGATCTAATATTTTGTTATTGTGTAGCTTTAACAACCAGTTTTGATTCTGACTAAGTGACGTGCAACGTCGTCATATTCTGAAATTTATGTTTCAAAATGTGTTTATATACTAATTCACCTCCAAGAAGTTTTTTAGAAGACGTCATGTTGTTGCTACAATGTTCTCTTGGTTTCTGCTTTTGGATGTGATTATGATCATCAAACTTTTGAAGAAAGGAAAACTTCTGAAGATTCTGAAGATCTCAAGTCAGACGCTGATGTTATCAAGATTCTGATTGATGATTCTGGAGATTATAATTTCAAGCTACGTGACTCATCTGTTCATGCTTCATCCTTTTCATCAGAAGACAATGAATTTGAAGATAAGGATAAATGATACATGATCAAAACAGTACAAAGTGCAAAACGAAATTGTTCCTCCACTATTTGATTTTATGGGCGAAAGAACGGTACTATTTGTCACACATGTCACTTTTCTGTTAGTGGGCAGCTACATTTTTCCTATTTCTGATTTTCCCTCCAACGCTTCCTTTTTCATGCTATATATATGGGACTTGGAGACTTCAAGAATGTTACCGAACATAACAAGATTGTTTCAATGTGAAAAGCTTCCAATCTTGAGCAAACTTTTCTTTAAGTATTTCAATTGTGTAAATATGCTTGTTTAAGAAGCACTTTGTAAATACACATCTTTGTATCCAAATGTTTGTTTATAATTCATTGATGGATCAGTTAGATCAATATTCTTAAGAAGACATTGAATGTGTGTCTTTGTGGTTTGTTAATCATCAATTATTGATAGTGCATTTGTAATCAGTTGATTATAGTGGATTAAATCTTTAAATTATAGTAAATAAATCTAGATGAACCTTAAGAAGGCATCAACAAAAGTTATATAGTAATTATACCCAAGTATGGAAGGATTAGGTGATGCACCCTATCATTGTATATCAATGTATATCAACTCTAAAGGGTGAATGTAAGCAGTGTGTGGAGATTGAGGGTGTACTTGTGCGCTTTGTTCATACAACATGCAGTACAAAAGGCATAAATGTTTCTATGGCTTAAGGAAGTCCTAAACGTAATTGTCATAAGTATTGGTTATTATATGTGATACAAGGTGCAGTGTTTGTAATTAAAAAATATATTTATGAGATGAAATGCATGGGGTAAAAGACTTAGCAAAACTTAGTGATATGGCAGAAAATTCATAGAGACCATTAGATCTTACACATCATTGGAGAAGAGTTTCATTGGTTCCTGAGAGTTTACAAGACATTCATTAGCATAGAGTAGAAAATAGAGATTAATATCTCGAGAAAACTGACACTTATGAGGTTTTTGATGATTGAGGAAACATGAAGTAGATTGTGTAGTGTGAAAGACATGTGAGGTTGTGTAGGGGAAAGGGAGAGGATTGAATATGCAAACCTCTGAAGGAGTTGTAATATGGCTCATTTGATTGAGACGATTCAAAATTAATGTAATAGGTGATGGAGAAGTGTTGGTAAGATTCAAAGAAGCAATATTAATGAGTTTGTTTCTTGAACTTTCCAAATTGAAGTTCATGTACCAAAAGAACTTCAACCTCATCAATATCCATGATATCAAACTTGCTTACAAGAACATATACTACAGAAGCATAATTTGAAGAGACTTTCTAAAGGATTGCAAATGCAAACGAGATAGTCTCATATAGATAAATTCGTAAGCATGTTAGAGCAAAGTTGGAACAAGTTCATTTGTGAAAATATGCAAAGAGTCAAATCATTGAGCTCCTAAGCATGAGCACAACCAGTAACACATGTGAGCATTCAATCAGGCATACGACATGCCACATAATCAAGATTACTTCTTGTCGTGTGACAATCATCATCAATGATATTTAAGAGGAGCACAAAGACAAACAATACACCCGATGAGTTTGTGAGCCTTAACATATGGTTCAATCTACTAATGCCAAAGATGGAAGTTTTCTTCAATAAATTTTTTAAATTTTCAGAGAAAAGAGATAAGAGGGGCAAGCTTCAGTTCTGAAGTCTAAGAGGTTGCCAGTTCAGAATCAACTTCTGGGCAAAAGAAAAGCCAAATAACAGAAGGATTCCAAGTAGTTTGATTTGGCAACATCAGATCCCTCCCCATTGAATAGAGAACTCAAGTAAGGGATCATCAGAACATTGCAAAACAGTCTTGTCACAATCGAAGGCATGTTCCTGTTCCAGGAACATTACAAAACAAACAGTTCAAATAAAAGTGAAATCTCAAGGGGAAGTGATTCGCAAAACCTTTTTTAATTATTAACTTCAGAAAAACAAAAATGTCACTCAGGCTGGTTCACTACACTACAGGCGTCTGTATTACATTTTTGTTGGATTGTTTCCACTTGTAGATTCCGTATTACATTGGAGGAAAATAGGGGAAACAATGTTGGTCACACTTCAATTTAGTGCCAGTAAACAATGTTTGTCACACTTCAATTTAGTGCCAGTAAACAATGTTTGTCACACTTCAATTTAGTGCCTCTCTACATACCATATCCTGGGAGAAAAAGAAAGTAAGAGTCAGCCAACAATATTTTACACAAATGTATGTGAGATTCCCTATATTTGAAATCATATTTTGCACCTTGTATTCAAGATTCTTAGTTGACAGTAGAGTCACAAAGAACAATTGGAATAAATTATGATAGTTTATGGTTGAGAACAAATAGACTTGGTTTACATGATATTTCACTTTAAAAAAATGTACAAAATATTTATTGTTATTTTCAATTTTCACTATTAATTAAAATATCACTATCTCTTTTTAACATTCATAATCATAATTGACATTGCAATGGTTTGAACAATGTTCAAACTACATACCTGAATTGTCCATGGGGTTGCCAGCAGCTACAGATTCGGGTTCCTTTATCTCAACAACAACACAGTCTGACATTAAGAAGGTTTTGGCAACAGAGGCCGCATGTTCCAGGCAACATCTGACAACCTGTGCAAGAGTAGGATGCTTTAGTTTATAAAGTTTCATAACATTAATAGCATATTGGCATTATCATTGTTATGGAGCATTTACACATGGAAGGCAGACAGAAACATGCACAAAATACACTCCAATTTCCCAAGACAATAAACTAAGAACCGGTATTGTGACTAATACACTTCCAGTTTGCAACAGTATGCATGATTTTAGAACTGTATTTGGTGCCCTCCAAGCTAAGTTGAATTTATTAGACTGGCTACTAGAGATAGCTATCAAATCAATCCAACACGCCTTTAAATTAAAAACAATATGGTGGTCAATCAATAAATCACCTTTGTTGGGTCAATGATCCCTGCAGACATTAAATCTTCATATTTACCAGTGGCAGCATTATATCCAAATCTTGTATTGTCATTTGACAGAACCTATCCAATACATAAGCTACATCAGCACAAGCACAATGTGAGTAACAAGTTCCAAATTTGGCCGGTTTATATACCTTCTCACTAACAACACTGCCATTTACACCGGCATTTTTTGCTATTAATTTCAAAGGGTAACTAAGAGCTCTTTTAACAATGTCGGCTCCAACCTGCACCACATTGTAGCGGTAAGGCCATAATCAGAGCCAGAAGGTTAAATAATAAATAGTGATATCACTGAAAAGAGCAAAACCAAGTCAGGAAAATTTTCCATATATGAAAAACTTGAGTTCTTGAAATATACAATAATAACTCACTTTTTCTTCATCATTTGCAAGGGTAGCCTTGATTGCATCCACCTTTGATGAAAGTCTGAGCAAAGTGCACCCACCACCAACTACAATACCCTCTTCAACAGCGGCCTGAAAGTTGAGAAAATATTAGGTTTTAGTGCAGGAAAAATAATTACTTAATGAACATCTTGGGAAAGATAAAGTCACCTTTGTAGCATTAAGGGCGTCTTCAACTCTCAATTTCTTTTCCTTAAGTTCTGTCTCAGTTTGTGCACCAACCTACACTCATAACAAAACTTGCACTATTTAACTCATAACAAAACTTGCACTATTTTATATGACTTGCAGAGACGTTAAAAGCCGGCATATTATAAATTTCAGTCGGGTGGCGGGTGGGAACAATACCTGTATGACAGCCACGCCACCAGACAGCTTTGCAATCCTTTCGTTCAGCTTCTCCTTTTCATAATCTTGTTCAGCAGCCTGTATAATATGTAAACATTTTGTTAGAGTCTGAGTACGATGTGAATCTCTCGTACTCTTATATATGTACGGCCTCTACACTACAGAGTTTCTCCTTACATACAATGACTCTGCATGTGTGCATACACACATTTGGTTAACTATATAACTATCTACCTAATGTTATGTAAATCAAATTTCAATCCACCTAAACTTTAAAATATTTCTCATTTGTTGAGTGTATCATTAGTTACTGTGTACAAAGTCTCCAAAAAGGCATGCACATACAACGCAAACAATTTTTTAGGGGGTGGAGAGGTGGGGCAGAAGAGAAGGAAACCTCAATTTGGTTCTTAATTTGTGAAACTCTCTTGTTAACAACTTCCTGGGTACTTCCATCACCAACGATTGTAGTTGTATCTTTGGTTAGAACCACCTTGGCAGCAGTGCCCAGAACCTCATTCCCAGCTTTGTCTAAGGTAAGGCCAACCTCCTCTCTGATGACAGTACCTATAAGTGAATGGGGAAGATACATATTGTTACCAACAACTGGTCCAAAAAATAATAACACAAGGAAGAAATACACACTTCCAAATTTTAGAGAATAATCAAACATTAAACGTTTAAATTTATAAACCTCCTGTTAAGATTGCAATATCATCAAGGTACTGGCTCTTGCGTTCTCCAAATCCAGGAGCCTTAAGTGCTGCAATCTTCAGTGATCCTCTAAGTTTGTTCACAACAAGAGTTGCCAAAGCTTCTTGTTCAATATCCTCTGCAATGATCAAAATAGGGGATCCACTTCTAATTGCATCCTCCAATATGTTAATGAGATCCCTTGCATTGGTTATCTTTTTGTCAACCAACAGCAACTGCAAAACATACATGCCATATAAAATTTAAAGTAAATACGTAAGATGATGTCACAAAAAATAGCAAGCTGCAGAAAAATACAAATAAATGTCTCACCTTGCAGTTTTCAAATTCAACAGTCATTTTCTCACTGTCAGTAACAAAGTAGGGGGAAATATATCCCCTATCAAATTGCATCCCCTCAACAACGTATAGACTGTTTTCAGCACTCTTTCCCTCCTCTAGTGTCACAACACCCTTCCTACCAACCTTGCTCAATGCTTCAGCTATCATGTTTCCTACTTCATAATTGTTTCCAGCACTAACTGCTGCCACATCAGCCAATTCACTGTCTTCAACCTGCAATTCACACGACCACAATGCTTCTAAGTCAACAAAAAAGATGATTGAAATATTAACATGATTTACAAAAGATCCAAATGGGGAATCAAAATATATGTGAGCATCTAAGTTGAGAAATATTTCTTCTTTAAAAAAAACTATAAAACAAGATATGATAGTCATTCATCCACAACCAAAAAACTAAAAGTGATGTAATCAACTTTAATTTCTATAATCCCCTCATTGATAATCATTACTTTGACACATTTTAACCCTGTAGATGTGCGCGAGATGTGTACAAAAGGTTTTAGCGTGTGATGAAGTAAAGAAAAAAAAAATCTTTCTGGACATTTGTTGAAGTTGTCTAACACATATTGTACGGGTGTGTGGGGGGGGGAGGTGTCAGAAACGAAGACGAGGCTAATTCAAAAGGTGTAAGTGTTTCATGGGAAATGATTGTTTAGCAATAAACAAATCTAAATACTCAAATAAATTGGAAGTTTGAGGTACATACCCTTTGAAATAGCCATAATTAAAGACACAGAAACACAAAAGAACAAGAAAAATGCCTCACCTCTTTTGACATCAGTTTAAGTTCAGCTACAAGAGCTTTTGCTGTCTTCTCAATTCCACGTGTGATGAGCACAGGGTTTGCACCAGCTGCAACAACCTATCAAATTTAACTCAAAATGAGTTCCAAATTGCTCAAGAATAAACAAACAAAACCAATAAGTTACTATTTACTTATCCAGTCCACAGCTCATAACAATCCTACCTTGACACCTTCTGCAATAAGACCCTGAGCCAAAACAACAGAAGTAGTGGTTCCATCACCGGCCAAGTCGTTTGTCTTGGCAGCTGCCTGTCTCACCAATTTGGCACCGATATTCTCAACCGGATCCTCCAACTCAACCTATTCAACTCAAATATAAACAAAACATCAAAACAAACACCCAACATAAATAATTCACCAAAAACAATAATTCAAGTAAAATCTTAGGCCCTAACCTAATAACACAAAATTGAAAAAGCAGGTTCAAGCATACACACACCTCTTTAGCAACAGTGACACCATCGTTAACAATTTTGGGCGAACCATACTTGCTCTCAAGAACAACATTCCTTCCTTTAGGGCCAAGAGTAACACCAACCAAATCCGCAAGCTTGTTCACACCATTCTACAAAACACAAACAAAAAATCAAAACATTAAAACACAATTAAAAAAAAGTATCAAAATTTTTCCTTTTTGTGAGTAACCAACCTGAAGCTTCCTGATAGCCGAACCATCTTTGTTGAAATGCAATTCCTTGGCCATGGCGGAGACTTTAAGGTTCCGGTTCTTCCGGGTGAGAGCGACGGTGTTGGAAGTTCTTCTGCGGGCGGCATTAGAGGGGAATGAAGAAATTGAAGTGGAGGAAGAAAGGTTGCAGGAAGAGAGGTTGCAGGATGCCATGGATGAGGAAATGGGAATTGAATTTGGGAGAAAATGGAGGCTAGGGTTTAAGGAGGGTTGAGAGGATTGGGTTGGATAAGTTTTACTTTGTAGTGAGAAATGAGAATGAAGGATGAAATTAAATCAAGGGCTGAGATGTTGGTGATGATTACAATGGTACAATCACTTATATCCTTTGATTTAATAACTAGACTATTCAAAGGTTGTGATGCATTCTTCTTTACCAAATCAAGTCTTATCTCTCTTAAAGAAAACACACTCAAAATTATTCCATGAATTATCTATCTTAAACTTTAAAGTAGTTTTTTCTTACCAAATCCAAGAAATCCTACTTCAATGTAATTTCATGTTTTATTGAGTTTTTTTATTTTTGAAAGAGCAAATATAATTTATATAGAAACAAAATTACAATCAACAAAATCGAATAACGTTATAAGTATTTAAAATAGACCTAAGATCTATTGATTTTTGAGTTTGTATTTTTTTACTTACATTATTGCTTATCTATGACTTTTATTTATCACTCTTAACTAAAATAACATAACATAAAAAGGTCATTTGACTCAATAGCGTGGCTAAATAACACTAAAAAAATTTGAAATTGTGTGTTCGAGTTGTAAATCTTTGAGTTGTACTAAACAAAAATGGTGGAAATCATATTCAAATAGTAGTAATGGATTCAAAAATACTCGACAAATTTTTATACATATAGTATATTATATTTTTAGCTTAGTTATAATTACTTTTATTGTTATTTCTTAGGATTATAGGGTTGCGATTTATATAAACACATGATACTTTTGACAAATCTTGAAGAAGATAAACTTGATATTTAATGATCTTGACAGAGGAAAACCTTGTAGCTGGATGAATTGTGATAAAAAGATACTCATGATGTTGTGAATTCAACCCTTGCTTTAACTTGGATGAAAGAACCTCAAAGCAAATAGGAAAACCTAATTCGAAGAACTGTTGTAACCCCATTTCTTAAAAGACCAATGCAATGTATGATTATGAGTATGACCTAATGGGATGCAGATGAATGTGAAGCAAAAGTCAGTTAAAGTTAGGAAAAGAGAGAAAAAATTTTGGGGTGCAACACATATGTCTAATTCTAATGTTTGATGTTCATGAATATATGCTTTGATTTGATGAACATAATGACGACTTTATGGCTAATTGATGATATAAATGTTTAATTTGTGTGTTATTGATGTGAACGATTGTTAATAAATTATGATAATTTAAATTGTAGTCTTATAAGTTGAATAAATGATTAGATATGATCGTTCATGCTCAAAACTGGATTGGGATAGGTCTAGGGTGAAGAAATTGGGTTTTTAAGTGTAATTCCCGTGAAATAGTTGTAGAAATTGAGTATTTTACATCATGGGTACTATGGTAATTGATTACCACGCAATGGTAATCGTTTACTAGCATTGAAATTGAGGTTTTATCTTGTTTCGAGGTTGGTAATTGACTATCACGTATTGGTAGTCGATTAGTCTAGTGTGGCATGAAGAAATTTTGAAGTAAAATTAAAAAGGGCATAACTTGAGTTTCGTAACTCCGATTGAGGCGCGGTTTAAAACGTTGAAAAGTTAACGCATAAGACTATCTTATTGTAATTTCCCTAAATGTTTTAAATGTGTAAATTGAGTTGTTTGACTCGATTATTTTATAGTGGTTTCTTACTCTTTCGACTGTTTGATGTTGTTTGATGAGTACTGATTATAAAATTATATATTTTAATTATTATACTGAGTTTATGGAGAATGCCTCATGAAGAGGAAAATTGTTAATGTTGAGGTGTTTCCGTCCAGTGGAATCATTGATGTGGTCTTGCTTTCGCGATAATTTATGTTGAGTTTTAGGTTTGAGAGGAATCAGTGACGAGTATTGAAGTTGGAGGTTAAGACCAGTATTGCATATATTTGTGTAGCATTCATGCATCATGTATATTAGAGATAGGTAGTACTTAAGTACAGTGAAGATATAGGACGGTCCAATGACGAGTAGGACTTCGGTCTAGTGACAAATCAGATGCTTCAATAACACACTTCTGAATATCCTAATTTTGGTACCACGTCCATTAGAGTATAGGAGATGAATACATTGCATGTGGATGGATTGTATGATTGATTATTTATGCTAATTATATTATCCTTATTGTTTTATACGTCATTAACATATGTGAATGTATTCTCACCCTCTGTTTGTTTTTGTGTTGTCCTTTATGCATATGGTGTAGATACTCAGGTAGAAATTGAGGAGGTTTAGTTGTTTTTTGTATTGGAGGATGGAATTGTTCGTCTTCTTTGTTGGTTATCTTTTGTGTTGTTTAGTTTCTTGTGTGTTTCTCTGATAATGTAACACTGGGTTGGGAATACCATATTTTGTTTTGTTTTTTGTGAGTTGTTTAATTGAACCTTTTGATTAAAAGAAGTTAATTTCTATTAATGAGATAATTGAAGAAGTGTTAGAGTTTATTTTCCGCTGCTATCATGAATTGAGAATGTTATGTTGAGAAATGTGGCACCCTTTTGAGTATTTTATTCTGCATGTTTTATAAATAAACTATTTGGAGTTTAGGGTGTTACATAGTTGGTATCAGAGCCGGTTTGTCCATTCGACCTAGGTTTTGTGAATTTACTTATACCCTGGTGTGTGACATGTGTACGAACACTGTCGATGCTTGAATTCATAAACCGCAATTTGCTTTACTATTTACGATTAGTTAACCTATCTTGGCTGGTTATTCACAAATAATGGTTGGAGGTAGAAACGATCAAGTGATTTCAGAGGCCCTTGGGGCGATGGCTCATGTGATGACCGCAAGCAAATGAAGCTTTGCATGCAAATTAGAATCATTATGGTGGAGCTGATGAGTTTCGTGGGCTGGGAAAGTTTCAGAAGAATAACCTGCCTGCTTTCAAGGGAAGGTGTGATCTTGAAGGTGCCAACACTTGGCTTCAAGAGATTAAGAAGATTTTTCAGGTTATGGTGTGCACTAATGCGCATAAGTTGTTGTTCGGAACACATATGTTATCTAAGAAAGTTGAGTATTTATGGGATAATATTCGTCAGAGGATGGAAGTTACTAATGCGGAAATTACTTGGTTTAATTTCAAGAATGAGTTTCTGGACAAGTATTTTCCAGCTGATTTTCATAGTCATAAGGAGATTGAATTCATGGAGCTCAAGTAGGGTAATATGACAGTGGCTAACTATGCGACCAATTTTGAAAAGTTGTCCAGATTTTGTCTTTATTATAATGTTATGGATGTTAAAGATTCCAAGTGTGTAAAGTTCGAGAGTAGTTTATGTTCTTAAATCAAACAGTTCATCGGCTATCATGAAATCTGTCGTTTCTCTGTGTTTGTCAACAAATGCAGAATTTATGATGAGGATAGTAGAGGTAAGTTTGCTCACTATGAGAGTGAGTGAGAATCATAACTGTAGCAAGTCATGTGTTACCCTAGTTGTTAAGGGAAAACAGAAGTCTCAGTAGAAGGACGCAAGTGAGAATGAAACAAGTGGGGGAGGTGTTTTTGCTTCTTTGAGATGTTTCAAATGTGTAAGGTTAGGTCATTATACTGGTGAGTGGAAGAGCATAAGACTAATATGTTTCGAGTGTGGAAAGCAGGAACATCGCGTCGTTGATTGCAAGAGTGCATTTGTGACTTGTTTCAATTATGGAGAACCAACTCAGATCCGTGTCAAGTTTCAAAAGCTGGAAAATAATGCAGATGGCTCGCAAGCTAGTGGGAAGGTGTTTGCTCTTAGTGGTGTGGTGGTCTCAAGATCAGATAATTTAATTTGAGGTACATGTTTCATAAATGGTGTTTCTTTGAATGTTATCATCGATACAATTGCGACACGTCCGTTCATGAGAACTACTTCGTTGATTTGTCTTAATTATCTCCTAATAATTTATGGTAAAGATTTTAGAGTTGACTTGATTTGTTTACCTTAAGTCAACTAGATGTTATTCTGAGAATGAAATTGTTAGAGTTCAATTATTTTTATATTAATTGTTTTTATAATACTGTGCTGTTTCTCGAGGTCGAAGAGAGTGTGGATTCAAGATTCATATATGTCAATTAAGTAGAGATATTCGTGAAACAGAATGTGTTCGAAGATACGTGTTTAAATTTACTATAAACGTGTTTTTTACCCCTACAAAACCGTGAAGCTTCATTATTGGATCCACCTATAACTTATGGTATATTCATAAATTGTTTTTCGTTTTAAGATAATAATTTCTCAAACAGTTTATCCAAACAACTTAATCAAGTTTGTTTTGAATGATAGAAATAACATTAGCTCTTAATGAAATCATTTACCAAAATCTACTATAAATCATCTGGATTCTTGACAAGCCAAAATATTTTAAATATACATAAATAAAATAAAATAAAAGATATATAGTGAAGCGTTTAATACTAATGATAACAATAAGAATTGGCGGTATTTAATTGTTTATTTTACAGGGACCCTTATCTATTCTTATTTTATTATGGTAACTCTCTATTCTATTAGATATAAGTGTACAAATATTTCATTATGGTATCTCTGTCTATTCTTATTTCATTATGGTAACTCTGTCTATTCTATTAGTGTACAAATATTTACACCAACAATGCAAGCACCTTACTCTAAGTTAATTATATCATTAATTCTTGTGGTTCTCCATAACTTTAAATAAATATCATTTGGGGTCATACAAAATAAGACAGCAATATTCAAATGCATTTGGAAATTTAATTTATGATCATTTATAATATAAAAAAAATAAGATGGTGCAGAAATGTCTCTTTTGTCCTTCTCTCTAAATTTGACACCTATGAGGATAATTTTGGTCCAAAATTTATTTTTTTGCAACTAATGATATCACATTGAAAATTCTAGTACCAATTTTCCAGACTGCATTCTTCTTTCCAATGAAATTTCTAATTGAATTAAGTACGTGAGCAGCTCGATTAAATTGAACATGTTTCAATGCCCTGCAAGATAGAAACCAACGCAGACTTCAGAATTTTAATCCCCATAAACCAGGTCTCACTTGCACTGAATTTCACTTAAATATCATTACTTAATATGGCAACAAAAATAAACATGTTTAGCCATTGTTATCACAGAAACTTTAATGCAAAACTGGCTGTTCGATACAGAATCTTAAACCTTTCACAATGTTTAAAACCAACCCAACAGAGTCAACAAAACACAAGGTTTATAAATTGATGAGTTACAGAATATGACATGTCCTTTCTGCACAATATTGTGCATGTTCCTGAAGATAATTTACTATTCAAATCATACATCAAGAAGGTGGTTGAAGAACAGTTTAGATGAAGGGTATGATAGTGGTCATAACCTACAATTCTGAACTAATCTCCTCATAAATATCATTCAGACTAAAAATAATGCAATTAAGGCTTCGATTTCTTCCCTTTGGCTTCGTTATTCGGTTTGTTCTTGAATGGCAGAAAAGTCTTTCCACCCATAAATGGCCTGAGGACTTCTGGTATCTCTACCCCATCCTCCTTCTGGTTGTTCTCAAGTATGCAGCAAATGGTCCTCTCAGTAGCAGTGAGAGTAGAGTTCAACAAATGGGCGTATTTCTTCTCCTGCGAATTAGTCTGTAACAGGAAAAAGATGCAAAAGATAACAGTTAAAATTATGAAACTACAGTCTTGTAGAGGGTTGAAATTAGTTAGCCAAAATAACCTATTGCCCATGGCAAACCATATGTAATAAAGCAATCAATATGATGTAATGAAGCCATCAATATGATGAACTTCGACATAACTGACCTTCTGCCCAAATCGAATTTCTAATTTTCTGGACTGGTAGTCAGTACAATTTGAACAGGATACCAACTCCCTGTAAGTTTGAGATGCTGGAAACCATGCTTCAAGATCATACTTCTTCGCGGCAGCATCATTTAACGCACCAGATACAATGGAAACAATTTGATATGGAATGTTCAACTGCAGTAAATAAAATGTAATTACATAAAATACGGAAACTAAAAAGGAGGGCGAAGAAAGCTATCAATTTAGGTTGAAAACAACTAAGATAACAATCTCTATGCAATTGAACAGCAAGATGAAATAGAATGATGTAGTGACAGAAGACAAGCAATAATCACAAACATACAACAAAATCCTACATATGAAACCTTATAAGAAATATTGAGATGCATTAAACATTCTCCCCTTTAGACATGTTTGACATGTCAAAAACAAGATGGCATATTAATCCAATAGATTAATTTTACCCTGGGATTCAGCAACCATGCCAAAACTATTCTCCCTCAGGTCCCATATATAAGAAACTTTATGGACTTTTTGGCTCCAAATATATAAAAAAAAGTTGCAAATTTTAACATGTCTTTTTTTTTTATTGTAAAAAACTTTTTAACATTTCATATTATTGGGTGTTAAAACATTTAATGCAAGGCTACATTAGGTAAAAAAACTTTCAAAATTACCATATTAAATGAGTGTCATTGGTTTTGATTTATGTGGCATCTGACAAAAGGCGTGTCATGTCCGTGTCGATTTCAGACACTTACACTAATACTGGTGATTACGTTTTATTTTTTTATTTTTTCAAATTATTTTTGGTGTCCATGTGTCAGTGTCAGGGTAAAATTCAGGGTGTCCGTGCTTCATAGGGTTTGATAATCTTTTCTTCTTATACATGAGTATTATATTATATATAACACCCCTATCCCTTAGGGGAGGGGAACGCAAATTACTCTTAATAAATCGTTTCAAAACAAGCGCTCAAACGAAAAAAATGACTTTATTATGAAGGACATTGCCGTACCGCCTTGTAAAATTCCTCAGAGTTCTTAAGCATTTCCTCGTGCATGACCCATGAATCATTATCAACTGGGGAGGTAAGGCAAAACTGCTCTACTTTCTCAAATTGGTGAACTCGGAATATTCCTAGAGTATCCCGACCATGAGATCCAGCTTCTTTGCGAAAGCAAGATGAATATCCAGCGTACCTGCAGAAAGTATGTTTCCAAAATTAAAAATATAACATAGTTTTTCAGTTTTAATATGAAACATGTGACTAAATTCATGTTACCTAATGGGTAGCTGGCTAGGGTGGATCCAATCATCTATATGATATGCACAAAGTGGCTGCTCTGCTGTTGCAATCAGATATTTGTCATCTCCTTCACCAGTTACCTAATATAATAATTTCTTAGATATGATATATAATAATTTCTTAGATATGACCAGATCAGAGGAAAAGATTGGGGTGGTCTTAGGCTTGCTAGCAAGCATAGATGTATTCATATTCTGTGGCCTCAAAATCTCAAATATAAAACTACCTTTAATATCTTCAATGATGTCATTCCTAAAATACTCATTAATCTAAGTTTTCTTTTTCAATAACTTATCTCATTGAACAAATTTTCATAAATATCACGTTTCAGAATGCACACATTTTTTCTGTCAAAAACATATGAAAGAATGTAAATAAAATAAAAAAATTAATAAAAGAAACATAAGAAAGAATTTAATTTAGTCTGAGATAGAGAAAATTGACTGCAATTAGCTAAATTTCTCAGTAAGTGTGAGGTTAGTTACTTTTGTTTAAAATTGAGACCAAGCCTGTATGCTTCTTGTTTTAAAGTTTTAGCAAGAAAAAGGAAATCAATTCCTTTACAAAAATTTAAAATGGATAATAAAATGAAACAAAGGTGGCATTTTTATCCTTATGAATGAAAATAAATCAACAGAAAAAATAAACATTGCAATAAGGTTTCTGACAGTTTGGCACCTTAAAAAGATAAAGCATAAGAATCTTAAAATCAAATTATAAGCTTGTAATAGACTACGAACTGTGTACAGAGGCATCACTAGTATGTTTTTAATAAAATCAAATTAGCATGCTCTTCTCATATGATTTTCTACTCTATTACATATGCTCTGATTTTACTCTTTTTCAAACAAAGCAAACTCAAAATCACCCAAATCAACATTGAATTAGCTTGAGAATTTTACCTTATAAAGCTCTTCATCAAATTGGGCTAATTGAGCACACTTAGACATTATATCTTTTCTCATGAAGAAAGGGGTTTGTAATAAGGTATATTCCCTTTTCTCCAAAAATTCAAGCCCGAAATTAATCAGAGCTTGGTTAAGACGAACACCATCTCCTTTGAGATAGAAACCTCTACCTCCAGCAACATCAGCTCCTATTATGCATCAAGCAACATGGCAAAAAAGATTAGGATACATTCAGAAATGAAGAACCTATCGTAAGCTACAGCAGCTGAAACACAGCAGTGTTCCATTAGTGATCAACATAAAAATAGCTTCATCTAGAAAAGACAGATGCAGTGAAAATGGTGATGCACAATTAAATTTAAAGGCATCAAGCAACATGTTACATGAAATAAAAATACTCAACAGTGTCAAAATTCGGGATAGTAGCAGAAAGATATTGTGCATATCATGCACTAGTTCGACAGATAAGCTAAAACACACAAGAAATGATAAAGGAAGCAAACAATTAGAACTGAAGTATTGTGGTGAAAACAGAATAACATTAAAAATCTGAAAATCATAAATTAAATAGAAATACAAAAGTTGAGTTTATGAATAAATTCCAAACCTTTCTTCAAATCTGCTATCCCGAGTAGGTCAACGAGATCCACATGATTCTTGAGTTTAGGTTCCACTCTTTTCTCCCCCCATGTTCTAACAACAGCATTGTTGGCCTAAAGCATTGATTTATGATTTATTTCATGAATTTTGAAGAGTCGATCAAAGTATAAGCAAACAAAAATAGAACTAGAACAAGATCAGACCTCATCATTGCTGATTGGAACGGAATCATGAATGAGGTTACCAATGGTTTCCAATTTAGAATTTAAACTGTTGAGAGCTTCAAGAGCCTCAACCTCTTTATCCGCTATCGATTTCTTAACCACTTCAGATTCAGCAATCAACTTAGTTGCATCTTCACCGGCCTAACACACAGATCAAAATCAACAATGGAATTTGCAATTGGAGGATTATAAGTAAAAATTGAATGTAGTGATGCTTACACGCTTTAGTTTGGAGACTTCCTTATTGAACTTGTTGAATTCTTTTCGGAGATTCTCCAACTGGAATTGACCTGCCAAAAACAAGATTAGGTCGATGGCATTGTTATACGGTGAAGATTTAGAGATAGAGAGAGATGAGTACGCTCTCGCCATTGTTTGTCGAGACTGATGACTTCATCAACAACCTCAACGCTGGCGAATCGACGGCGTTGGGATTCGCGGACGAGTTCGGGGTTGCCACCCTTTTCTTCTCTGAATAGGTTGATGTCCAACATGTCTCCGGCCGTCAACCTCTCACTGTAAACTCGATGAAAATAGATGAATTAGGGTTTTGCAATTTCAAGTAGGTTTTTTTCTTCTTCTTTTTACACAGGTAAAATTAAAACCCAGAAATAAAGGGTTTTTGGGACTTTATTTTTTTATTATTATCTAAAATTATTTTACATTATCACCCAATTTAAATAAATTATTTTTTATATATAATCGTGAAAGGAAAAAAATGGATGATGCGTCCCGCGTAGTTTTACTGAAATTTTTGAATTAATTATATGTTCTGGTTGGATAATATATTTTTATTAGATTACGGTGTAAAATATTTTTATATTATCAATATATATTAATTAAATTTATTATGAAATTAAAAATATAAAAAAAAATAAATTATAATTAAACCAGTTTAATAAATACCTTTTTCATGTTTATGCGTTCTCATGTATCAAAGTGATTCATTCGAATTGAATAGCAGTGTAAAATATACTAACAGTGTATTCTAATTATTCTCTTATTTCTTTAGAGATTTTACTCCAAATAAATTTATTTTATATGATATAAATTATATTTTAATATACATTTAAATTTAAAATGAATTCTTTAATTATAAAATAAATAATAATAATATAAATTTTATTATATCAAATAACTATATAAAGAAGAAGAAAAAGTGACTCAAGATAGAGAAACAAAATAATTTCAAAGATTTAAGAAAATAATTTTTTTTCAAAATGACTTTTTAAAGATTCATGTACATCTTAAAAGTTATGACATATATGATTACTTGATGTCTACCCGTGCATACCTGCGTTTTGCGCGAATAAGTTTTATTAAATTATTGTCAATAAATATTAATTTATAAAAATATATAATATATTTGTATTAATGTTTTTATTGGGTTTAGTTTTTATTTAAATAGTTAACAAAAATTTAATCGTTTATATTTTATAAAAAATAATAATATATTTTTAACTATATTAAAATTTAAATAAAATCTTCTGTCAATATACAATATAAAATGAGTCGTAATTTATAAATAAATACTTAAAAATGAATGGGGACTATCTCAAATAAATGCAAGTAAATGGCTAATAGAGAAAAAAAATGTAAAATGGAGGAAATGGATTTTTTTTTCCATTTATGTAAGCAAAATAATGATAAACTATAGTTTATGAAGAAAGAAAAAGAAGAAAAAAAAGAATGATTGTAATTATATTGGTAGTAAAGATTTGTTAGAAAAAGTGGATAATGGAGATTGATTTGAGAAAGTAGAGATTAATTACTAAAATTTGGGGGTGGAGAAGTTATAATATTTTTATTTAATTAATCAATTAGAAATGTGTAAGAGTTACTAAAATTATGGATTAATAAAAACTAAGATACAATTGAGATCAAATAAATAATTATTCAACTTTCAATTAACAAATTAATTATTTATTAATATAAATTTTTGTAAGAGTTATTTAATATTAGTCATAAAGACTTGAATATTATAGATTAATAAAAATTAAGATATAATTGAGATCAAATCAACAAATTGCTTAACTTTCAATTATCAAATCGAGTCAGCGCAACATAAAAAAAATTACAACCTTAGAACCTATAAAAATAAATAAAAGCACAATAAAATGTAGTAAAAAATAAAAATAAAATAAATAAAAACAATAAAAATAACAATATTAAAACTCTTATCTAGAACAATATTAGTTTTAATACTATAATCTCTTAAATATTGAGAGATGAACTATTACCTTAATAGAAAATGAAAGTAACATGTAAAAAAATTGTGATAATAAAATGCACCAAAAAGTGATAAACTATAGTTTATGAAAAAAGAAAAAGAGAAAAAAAGAATGATTGTAATGCAAATTATATAGGGAAGGAAAACTAGTTAGAAAGAGTGGATAGCAGAAGATTGATTTGAGAGAGTGGGAGTGGTTACTAAAATCATGGGAGTAGAGAAATTATAATATTTTTATTTAATCAATTAATTAAAAATGTGTGTCATATTAAATTTTTTAGAATTAAATAGAAACATATTTCATATTTAATTTTTTTAAATTTTAATTAATTAATTAATTACTAATAATTATTTATTATAATTAATTATTATTATTATTTAGATTTATTAATATACTTTTTTGTAGGAGTTATTAAATATTAGTGGTGGAGGTGGTTGGTATATTTATAATTTTAATTAATTATTTAATATTATTATTTATCATAAATTATAAATTTGTAGAAGTTAAATTTCCAATTTTAACTTTAAAATTATTTATTATAATGGAAGAAGTTATAAAATTATAATTTAGTATGATATATTAAATGAACAATGATAGAAAAAACATTTTTATGCGAAAAAGAATAATATATTTATGTCATTCAATGACAAGCTATATAGGTTTTTGAGGGTGGACTATGTTGCTAAGGCCATGTTTGGTAGGTTGTTTGTGGCCTTCAAATTTGAAGAAAACAAGCCTTGTTGACTTCCGGATGATGTCATTTTATTTTTTATGCATTTGTAATTATTTAAGGCTGAAATTGCATTCTAATAAAAACGATTTCCTTGCAAAAACACACATATGTGAATCACTACTGTTTTTTCTTCTTCTTCTATGAAGTAATGATTTTCATTACAAATGTATAGTAAGTATAATGATTTGAACTTTTGTTATAAAATCATAATGAACGAATTTATGTTATATATCATAAAAGAAAATGGGGCTTATTTTAACATTTTTCTTTTTTCTTTTTCTTTTTTAAAAAGTCATTAATTTGAGATGGAGGGAGCAATCTCCATGCATCACTCCATCCAAAGTTAAACATCATACACAAAAATCAAGCATACGTGACTTAATTCAGCATTCAGGATTAATCATAAGTATTAAGGACAATCCTCATTTAAGTCAATTGTACTTCTATGAAAAGAGTTATCATCCCGCATGTGCTCGCAAAATTATTTTCCAGCAAGTCATTCTTCAACTTTATGGTTGATAATGATATTCACCAGTATTTTCATGATGCTGCTCCCCGAGCAGAGGTTATCCTAAAAAGTCTCTGAAAAACGCTTGAAAAATTGAATGTTTAATCTGGTTAATCGATTAACACCAGAGGTTAATCGATTAACACTGCTCCAACAGCAGAAAACAGCAACAAAAAAGCACTTTTCAGCAACTTATCACTTAAGCAAACATCCACATGATTTCATAAATAATTGTACACGAAATTAAACCAGAAAACAATGATCTAATCAAGATGTAAACACATCTAAACATCACCATCACAATTCATATAGATAGAGAATCAACCAAAAGTCAATCAAAAATGAAGATCCATATCGAATATGCAAAATAAGCTCAAAAATGCAATAGATCTAGAATTCCAACCTTCGAAGCAGAGAATTGCTTCGGTTAATGTTGATTCACTTCAAACGTGTAGATCTAAGCAAAAAATCTGGAATTCCTTCAAGATCCAAGCTAATCCTTGTAGTAGAAGTGATGATCCACTAAAATCAAGCAAGAATTATCCAAATAAGCTCTTCTAACACCATTTTAAAATTCAGATCCAAGTTTGCACGAAAATTGAATGAAGAAATTGATTCAATGAGGACGATGGATGAAGGTTTTAGCTCAAGAGTTCATTGATTCCAATGGAGAATCAAAGGATTCAATAGATGAAGAGCTTTGGTGAGGATTTTGGAAAATGGAAAAGTTGAGAGAAACTTGAGAGAATGAGAGTGAACTCTGAAATGAGAAAGAAGTTATGAGGATTAGATGTGTGAGGTTTGGAATAAATCAATTAAATACCCCTTAGGTTTGGATCCAAATGAGAGGTTTGGATTGTGGTTTGTGAAATTTGGTTTGGAATGAGGAATGGGAATTTGGAGGGAAAATGAAATTAACCAAATTCAAGATGGTTCTAGATCCTTCCCAAGGTGTAAAATCAACCCACAAGTGATCAAAATTGGACCCCAAAGTGACTCCTATTGAAAATTCACGTGCAGAGGCAAAATCTGCATTGGTTAATCGATTAACACTTTCAAAAGTTCAAACATGGCCTGATTTTGATTCGGTTAATCGATTAACACATTTGGTTAATCAATTAACACCTTCAAAATTTTGGATTTGGCGCCTTTTAGAGGGAAATATGCACATTTGCCTATTTTCAAACGTTTTGAGCTCTGTTAAGCGTCTGAAACTTGTTCTTGAATGTTATAACCATGAGAATGCTTGCGATAGCCTGAATGGTGTCTCCTGTCCTGAAAACAACCTGCAACAAAATAAAATCGGCCGCTCGACCACCGGGCAAAACAAATGCCAGGGACTCTGATGCTTGCTATTTCGTCTCTTGTACCAAAAATGAAAACTGAACCACAGGAAAACCTTGACCCCGAGTCTCAATAACGAATGCTATGCAAATGCAGAAATGCGAAAATGCAAAGAAACAAAAGTCAGATGCTGCTAAAACGAAAAGGCAAATTTTGGGGTGCCACAAGTAGCAATGAGGGTGATGTTACTACACTTTTGGTTGGTAATGTTTCTGCAATCAACCTTGCGAAGAATCTAATTGCACATGGAAGAAGCAAGCACATAAAGATGCAGTTTCATTATTTGAGGGAGCTAGTAGGTGAAGGCAAATTACAATTGGGATATTGTCGAAGCGAATACCAAGTTGCAGATTTGTTGACTAAAGGGGTAACAAATGAGGTGTTCAAAAGATTGAAGAAAAGCTTGATCATGCTAGACTTGGAACAACTGCAACGAGGTGGTGTGTTAAAATCTGATTTTTAGCATTTCAGTTGTGGTAATCAGTTACGGGTTTTGTCATAACCAGTTACAAAGTTGTATTTTGACTGAAGAAGTGTTGGCACGGACTCGTAATCGATTACGACATTTTGTGTAACCGGTTACAAAGGCGTTATTCAATTTATTATATTTTATGTTAATTTTAGCTTATTTAGTTAAGCTATTTTTGTTGCATCACAATGCTTGTGTGTACTTGCTAT